AAATTAATGAAATTTATTTTAATTAAAAGTAAAATATATTGCGTTGTTGATTTTTCAAATTTAAAAAATAGAAAATAATATGATTAAATTATTGATGGATACAATAAATTTAACTAAATACATAATAAATTAAAATTCGTCGTTAATGTTCATTGATATATATGAATGGATTACTTACATCTAACTGATGGCTAACTTGACCATAGTCATGTGCTCTAACACAGTAATATACTAATAAGTGTGAAAAACCGTGCTTGAGTTTTGTCGGTCATATAATTTCCACATACATAATGTATTTTATTTTTAAATAAAAATAAATTTAAGCAGTAATCCTTATTAAATCTTTTTTAATTTTTTAATTTAAAAATCACTAACATAATATATTTTATTTTTAATTAAAATCAATTTTATCAATAATCTTTTTTAAATGTAAGTATTCTTTTTTGTATACGTAAGTATTTTTTTGGTATATATGTTTCATCTTATAGATGTAAGTACTTTTTTTGTTCAAAAAAATGTTAACGACTTAATCGTTTAAAATATAAAAGTCCATTTTTCCACATTAACCAATTGTATAGGTCATAAAGATGTATTTAACAGATTTTGGAAAGTTTAATGAGTTATTTAAAATGTTTTGGAATGTCCAAGAACTTATTTGTTTCACAAAATTATCCAATGACTTAATCATTCTAACATTAAAATCCATTGTATTTTTTTAGACTTTTCTCTCCTATACAACCATCTTTTTATTTGCTATCTAGACATCCCTCTATTATTCGTTATTATATTTTATCCACTAATCATTCCTTTTTTTTTGTTTTTTAATTGGTAATAAATTATTTTAATATTAATACTTTTAATCTCTTTATTTTTCTAAATGAATATTATGTTACTAGAAGGGTATTCGCGCAATGCAACGAGATACATCTCAATTTTAATGTTCTATTTGTTTTTTGTATTTGTCGATATTGTAATACGATTTTATGTGTTTTTAAGAAAAGAATAATGATTTTATTTTTGAATAAAATATAAATTTAAAGATACATAAAAATTTGAAAAAAAATATATCGATGTTTAAAACTTCTCATTTTTTATGTAATTTATTTTTTAATTATACTTTTAATTTAAATTTAATAATGAAATAATTTATTTTTGGTTTAATAATACATTTTATAAAAATAATAATTAAGTATTTTGCTAGAACTCAATGATTATCCTAATTATATTTTAGGTTTTTTATATTTAAAATGAGATGTTTATCCAATATTTGATCATGTTTATCTGCAGTTAGTTACACGAATTTAAATATGGTGCTTTAAAAAGTTGTACTTATGCACAATTACTTATAATCATAAATTTTAAGTAATATGCATCAATAAACAGTACTTCGTGGATACAAAATGGTTTTTAAGAGTTTTACTCTTTGTCAAATGTTTTATAATATAGTATAGATTTATATGTAGTTTTTCAAGTACTCTATTAAATTTCAAAGCTCAACTCTATACAAGCAGTGGAAACTATCAACCTAGAGTCCGGTAAGAGCAAAGGAAATTTCCGTGTTCATGTAACAACACCTAAAAAGAAAAAATACAAAATTTAGGGGTCGTTTACCGAACGCTTACTCTGGTAAAAATTTATTGGCAAAATTCAATACTATCACTTACTTACTGGATAAGATTTTAGTCCACGAAACGATATCATATATAATAATTTACCCAGTAAGTGCTAACCGTAGTAAAAGTCGTCGTCCTCACTTACCGGGTAAGAGTCTAGGTCCTTATCTTCTCTCTTACCAGATAAGATTATTGGTTCTTCTCATATTCATCAGTAAGATAATGTAACTTAATAAACACTTACCAGGTGAGCCGTGAGCGTTTGATAATCGGTCCCTTAGTGACCGTATGTATGTATTAGGAATGATGACGTCACTTTTCTTCCCTGTAATATACACACATGTATGCGGATATATAAATATCCATTGCTACAACTCCACTTTACACCTCATTCGTAGAGACACTCATACACATCAGAAATTATAAGTATTTATCATTTTTAAAATGGAGAAAAATGACACAATTTTGGTCGAAACCCTAACAAGAGGCAGAAATTCTGCAATAAGGCTGCTGAATTTGCTTCGCCGGAAAGAAAATGGCGATGGATTGGTTTCTGCTGATGACCTTCTCAAGGAAATATTCCGATCTCTTGTCGATGGTCTTTCCATGTTAAATTTTTCCGGTCCCGGCGAGGATTATAGGGTTCAGGCGAGCCCCAGCCAAGTGGGTTTAGCGTGTTCCGTCAATCAGTCATCGGAAGTTTTCACCGGCGACATTGGGAAGATACCACCGCCGTCTGAGAATAAAGGCAGAGGTCGTTATAAGAGAAGGTACGTACAAGTTTTGTTGCATCTGTACAAATACAGGTTGCATCTTTTTTATTCAACCCCAGATCATAAAGCACCGGAAAAATCATCAAATTGGTCGGGATCGGTAACACCAAAATTCGTTTCCGGGAAACTTGAGATCAGGTGATATCAGATTGTTTTCATGACAACATATAAATAATTGTAACATTCCATACTAACCGTAGTAGATATTGTCTGTTTTGTCCACACCTGAATTCACAATTTAAAACGAGTCTAATAAAGGAGGTATCCGGTCCTTTATAGTGCAACATTTGTTCTCCTCTCCAACCGATGTGAGATCTTACAACAACACGGTGAAGGTAAAACCATCACAGTGTTTTTGCTATAAAGGTTCAGTGTTTCTCATAGTACTACAATGTTTTGTTGTGATGTTTTAGTTAGTGTTATTTTATGGTCTTACGGGTTTCACGAAAAGAAACAAGTCTCACATGAACACAATTCTATATCTATATTACGAACTTTAACACATACGGTACATGTTAAATTTTTACAGAAGGGGCATAGATTCAAGGATAATAGTTAGTGATACCATTGCAGATGATTATGAATGGAGGAAATATGGACAAAAGGAGATCCTCAACTCTCAATTTCCAAGGTTTATGTCCTTAATATTTCGTGTGTATATATATATATATATATTGGTTTAGATTAAATGGTGTTTTAAAACATGTATTTTGGATATAGATGCTATTTTAGATGCACCCACAAGGATGGTCATGGATGCAAAGCATTAAAACAGGTTCAAAGGTTGGAAGAAGAGTTGTCATCCAAGTTCCAAATCACATATTTTGGTCTTCATACTTGCCCAACCCCACATGCTGTTTCAGACCATGGTCCCGGAGTTATTCTTGATTTTGAAGGTTTTAGAAATCGTGAGAATTTACCAAACAACCCCTCAATTACTGGAAAAATCCGCGAAGACTGCTCACGAAAACAAAATGATCCGTCTAATAAGACGGTTTCATCAGCCGCTTGTCTGGTGTCGATGGAGAGATCAACCGATGATTTGGATCRTCGTGACAAAGCGCCAAGGTTTGACCATCAAGATTCTTGTCCAACGAATATTTYGGATGGTTGTCTGAACGATGATTTTTTAGGTGATATTTCGACTGATGATATGTTGTCGATGATAGAATCATACTGGGGTGGAAACAATCGAACTTAACGTAAATGGTAGAAAGCAAAGATCATAGCGTAGAGATCTTTTTGAATTTGGATATGTTGGTTTTGAGAAACGATCACTTTCCCATCGATATCGTGTTATAAATTATTTACATAACTATTTAAATATATTTATTGTCTAAAATACATTTTATATACGATAGTTYATAGGACCAAAACAAAGTGTCATATCAAAAATGGTTACAATTGGTTTTAGGGCATTTTTGAATTAAATTGTTATATYAGTTATTTTACATGACACTATTTGAAAAAATATTCTATAAACACAAATGTTCTATAAAATAGGTAATGCAACATTTTATTTTAAAAACATTTTAAAAAACTTGTTAAAACATCTAAAAGCATTCTAAAAACATTTTGTAACACTTTTAGATAAGACGCTTTATAGTTTGGTCATATAAAGTACGCTATTACAATGTTTAAACATTCTAGACGTCATATGAACCTGATTTTATTGTAGTGAAAGATTCAAAACCCTTTCAAACACCAGTTTTAAGCGTTGTAAATATTTMAGAGAATAATATTATACATAATTTGTTAAAAAAAATAAAATACAAAATACTTATCTTCTCTATTTTAACGAACGTGTTAGAGATGCTATATATAACAAGCCATCATTCTTGAACTATTTCATCTCTCTCTCACACACACATACACACACACACACACACACACACACATATATATATATATATATATATATTTTGTATCTA